GGGAATAACAAAGGGAGACAGACAGAAAATTGAGCTCGGGGCACTAAAACGTGTTATATTTATAGTTCCAGATGACAGGGAGGATGAATTGCTGATACCGGCTGTCCTCCTTTATCCTGGTTCTCACCTCTGATGAATCATGCACAATGAGCGAATTCTATTTCACAGAGAATGGCATACTTCATTTGAGTCTTTCCTGGGTATAGCAGGCCCTGAGTGAGAATTACTCTGACACACTTATTTGCAGAACTACGATACAGCTTTTGTAGGAAACTGGTCACTTGTTCTTACTGGGATCTCCACTTAACCAAAGGGATCCTTATCAGGATCCTAGTCAGTCTTAGCGGCAAAGTCTAAAGACAGAAACACGTGCAGGTCTACTGGAATGTTTACAGACCTCTCAGACCAGGAATCACCGAGACTGCTGACGAACAAAGAAATGTACCCAGTGGGACCAGCAGTTAGCATAATGGCTATGTCGCTGGACTCCCATGTAGTCGACCGTGGTTCAAGTCCTGAACTTAGAGGCTTAAACTAACGCCGGGCGCGTGTGCATGCGTGCCCAAGATCCCAAGAGGAGAATGGAGAAGGGATTGTGGCGTGGCCATCGCCCCTTGGGGGTGATTTCTCGCTTTCTATCTCTCTGTCTCTCTCTGTCTTTCTGGCGAGCACACGTGCCCTATAGCGAAGACCTCTCCAAAAAAAAGAAATGTACCCAGTGTTGGGACCAGCAGTTAGCGTAATGGCTATGACGCTGGACTCCCATGTAGTCAACCGCAGTTCAAGTCCTGGACCCTGTGGCTTAAACTCATGCCAGGCACGTGTATATGCATGCGCAAGATTCCGAGAAGAGAATGGAGAAGGGATTGCAGAGTGGCCATCCTCCCTAGGGGGTGATTTCTCGATTTCTGTCTCTCTGTCTCCCTGTCTTTCTGGAGAGCGCACGTGCCCTATAGCAAAAACCTCTCCAAAAAAAAAAAAAAAAGAAAGAAAAGAAAAACAAATGTACCCAGTGTTGAAGGAAGGGACACCACCTTAAACAGGGCCCCTGTGGGGGCAAAAACTGTTCCTTTGGAGATGCAGCTACAAAATCTTCCTCTTGGGGCCCGCACGTAGTGTGGTAGTTAAGATGCTGGACTCCCAGATGGCCCACTGCAGTTCAAGTCCCGGACGGCTTGCTCTCTTACTTTCTCTCTCTCTCTAGTCAAACTAAAAATAATAACAATAATAATAATAATAATTCTTAAAAAATGAAAAAATCCCCCTTTTTGTAAGTTACAGATGTACATATAATAAATAAGTATAAGGTCTATCTATGGAGTAGTGACAGAAGAAAGTGCCCTTATTCTAGAGGATGAGGGCAAAAATGAAGAAGAACCTGAGACACACCGCCGTGGTCTACTCTCCTCCACAAATACGAGGCATCGGACACATGTCTGTGGAATGTAATTGAGCTTCTGCAGTGAACTGTATAAGAGTTGGAAAATTTTCTACAGTGCTAGTTACGAACAAATTCACAAGGTAGAAAAATGCCCTGTGACATCCCTCTTGAGGCAATCTGTGAAAATAAGTCCCTTAAAATATTATCGTGTTTGGAGCTCATCTTCCATTCCACTCTTCACACTGACTAGAAGAAATGCCAAGTGAGCGGTTATCTTTGCTGTCCTGAAGCTTCTGGAGTTTCCATTTACCAAAATTCACCATCTTAGTGTTTTGTATTTTCAACTTACAAAAAAAAAAAAAGTACTATGCATTGACTAAATATTTGGATACAAAGCAATGTTATGATGTATGTATATCATGTGGAATAATTAAATCAAGCTAATTAGTATATCTATCACTTCAAATACTTAACACTTCTGGGGCAAGAACACTGGAAATTTACTCTCAGTTATTTTGAAATATAGACTATCCTGTTATTAAATACATCACCACAATGTGCAATAGATGACAAAAGAATCCCACTCTCCTTTAGACTTTGTTCCTGTTGGCCATTATCTACCCATTCCTCCCACCTGTATTGTCATCTTGATCAAAGACCGTTTCCTCAAAACTTGTCATTAGAGGGACCAGCAGTTAGCGTAATGGCTATGTCGCTGGACTCCCACGTAGTCGACCACGGTTCGAGTCCCGGACCCGGTGGCTTAAACTCACGCCGGGCGTGTGTGCATGCGTGCCCAAGATCCTGAGAGGAGAATGGAGGAGAAGGGATTGCGGTGTGGCCACTCCCCCTGGGGGGTGATTTCCTGCTTTCTGTCTCTCTGTCTCTGTCTGTCTAGCGAGCACACGCGCCCTATAGCAAAAACCTCTCAAAAAAAAAAAAAAAAAAAAAACTTGTCATTAGAGCATCTAACTGTTTTATTATACAAGAATATAATGTTGGGACCAGCAGTTAGCGTAATGGCTATGTCGCTGGACTCCCATGTAGTCGACTGCGGTTTGCGTCCTGGACCCGGTTGCTTAAAACTCACGCCGGGCACGTGTGCGTGCGTGCCCAAGACCCTGAGAGGAGAATGGAGGAGAAGGGATTGCGGGTGGCCATCCCCCCGGGGGGTGATTTCTCGCTTTCTGTCTCTCTGTCTGTCTCTGTCTGGCAAGCACATGGGCCCTATAGCAAAAACCTCTCCAAAAAAAAAAATGAATTATGTTATTGTATAAAAACAACTCTGTTTCCTTTTGATGGTGTTAAATAGTAAAGCAAAGGTACACAAATCCTTTAACATACCCCTAAGCCATGAAAATAGACAATGTGTATAAGCCATTCTGTACAAATAGACTCACTACCTGGAGCAGAACTATTGCTACTATTTAAGTTCAGCTGCTTAAAAACTGGTGCTTTATAGGCAATTCAACAATTTTCCCTCTAGCAGTTCTTATTTTCAGGGGACAAGGCTAAGCATTGCAGGAATCCATAAATAATCATGGAAGACATTTACCTCATTCAAGGAGCTAATTAAAACTATTAGCCTAAATATGAGTGACAGGAAAGACACTTTAACTCTAGAAGGTTCCTATCCTAGCACAGTGCTTTCCACCTTTGGCCAGGCTGCTCTTTAAAATCCCATATGCTGGGGCCTGCAGGTGGCATGGTGGTTAAGGCATTGGACTCCACTGGATGACCATGGTTCAAGTCCTGGACCTGGCAACTTGCTTTCCCACTTTCTCTATTTCTTTCTCTCTCTCTCTCTGGTGAGTGCATATGCCCTATAGCAAATTTTAAAAATAATAATAATAATTAATAACATTGGATAAATAATTCCATATGTCCCCTCCCAGTTCTGATCTCATTGGTCTGGGTTAGGGACTTGGAATCTGCCCTTTTGTTGAGAACCACTAATTGAGGTCTGAGGTAAGGGCTGGAAGAGCATGAGTGTGAGTGCATGTGTGTGTATGTGTGTGTGTAAGACACACATGGAATTGTCATGGGCTGACACAGGGTTGAGACCCACCATGTTCCAGTAGTTAAAAGTACACATTAACATGCAAGATTCAACTCTGAGATGTATAAGTGAAAGTTGATTAACTTCTCTAAGTTTAGTTTTCTTATTTTTAAAATGGGAATAGTATTATTACCTACCTCATTGGTACTGCAGAGTAAATGAGTCAGTCCCCTTAAAAGTGCTTAATACACTCCTTGACAAAGAAAGGAAGGGCCTTCTGGAATCATTAGAATGACCAGTATTTAGGACCCTGTGTGTGAAAGGGTCTTCAGAGTAAGCACAGTCACCTTTTAAAACCATTCATATCTACTCTGTATGCTGCATGTTCTACATTTTATTATAATAACAGTCTAAACGATAGGTGCAGAAATCAGAGAGAAAAACTTAAATTTGTTTTCCAATTTGGAGAAAATTGTTAAAACCATTCTCTTTCTGAGTTGGGTGTGGTGGCAAATGCCCATAACAGCCCTAGTTACTGAGGAGGCTGAGACAGGAGGATTGCAAGTTCAAGGCCAGCCAGGGCAACATAGATGACCCTATTGCTTTAAAAACAACAAAAACAAAAAACCCAAAAAACAAAAAACAAAAAACTTCTCTTCCTGCAAGTCCCTTTAGCATTTATATTTAGTGTTCTACTTGATACTCTTTAGGGAACTTAATGATTCTAAGGAAGTCATATAAAAAGCACAGATCCTACTCAATAAAAATTTATGAGCCTTTCACTATAACATTCCAAAGATTCTAAGGAAGTCATATAAAAAGCACAGATCCTACTCAATAAAAATTTATGAGCCTTTCACTATAACATCCCAAGAAGTCACAAATTCCCAGGCTACATCTAGAAAGAACCTTGAAGACCATCTGGTTTAACCGGCTCTTGATTTATTGATCTGTAATATGAGAAGTCGTGACCAGCCTAAGCAAATTAGAAAAAGGCACTACTCAGTCTCAGGTGCCATTGATTATATTAACAAATGTACCTACTCACTGTTTTATGAAAATCCAATACTGTATGCAAAACTCAGATTTGGGGTCAGCACCTGGCATAGTGGTTAAGGCACTGAACACTGCCACATGGCTGATCGCCGTTCAAGTGTCGGACCTGGTGACTTGCTTTCTCACTTTCCTTCTCTCTGTGTGTCTGTCTTTCTCTGGCCAAATGAAAATGATTGAATGAATAAATAAAATTAAATAAATAACTCTTTTTTAAAAAAACTGCAGATTTACAAGATAACTAATGATTTATTTACAAATTATTCAGAGTGTTCTAAATAGAATCTCTTATGATACATGCAAACACTGTGTAAAGTTAGATTTAGGGGCAAATTTGCGGAACATCGCACAAAACGAGGTGTGTCTGTATTGAAACCAAGTTGTTGGAAAGGAAAGCCTGCTACAGTGTGCTTCAGGCTTTATACACGCATCTCTTCTAATCCTTCGAAACCCTGTGAGGCTGATGGAGAGACAGACATCTAAAGACTGAGTACTGAGCCGAGGGCTCATAAGGTGGTAAGGACAGGCTTCAGTTGCTACCATATTCTGATGTAGAATGGCCTTTTGTGTGATTTAATCTAATGGCACAGTCTACACAAATATTACACTAGTATTCTCTGAACTTCAGTTCCATGACTGTTCAAATAAGATACATTTCCAGTAGGCTCCACATGAAAAAACAGGGGGTCAAAATCTATGGGCTGCTCAGGTTCAAAAACAACAGGGACATTGCAAAGGGACTAGGAGTAGAATCCTGGACCTCAGCTCTGGCTCTGCAACCCCCAACTGGTGAAAAGTTACAGAACTTCTTTGGATCTGTTTCACTTCCAACAAAACAGAGAATACAAATCTTGACCTGTCTTGCACACTGGATTTTGCAGCTGGTCAATGGAGATAACAAAGACTGAAAAACATGGACCCAGATAGCTCTGCAGATACTATCTTACAACATGGAAAAGGAGGGCCACAGAGGCTAGGTGACTTGAAAAGGTCACACAGTGGATGACAAAGCCAAGACTGAAATTCGTAACATTGAGCCTTGTAGTCCTGAGACTCTCCATCCCACCTGTTGCCTCTTCTGTAACGACTTCTACCTACTGAACTTCGCATGTTCTTGCTCAACCCTCTGGGCCACCTCAGTAAAGTCAACTTTACTTCCCTTGAGAAAAGTGTCATCCATTCTCAGTTTATCAAGGTTGCTTCAAAATGCATGTTTCCCAATTTAAAGACTATAAAATTGCAAAGCTGTAAATGCCGTAGGGTCACTTGGACCCAACTTCTCCACAAAGAATCTGGTTCTACCACATCACTGAGATGTGTGTTCGGGCAATGTACTCCTAACCAATTCTGATCCCAAGAAAGAACTGCTTTGCGGGACTTTAATACAAGTGAAACTTTCTTTGCAGCCTGTGCACAAGCTCAGACTGATTTTAAAGCCAAAAAGCTTTGCTCACGTCCAGTACGTGCCATTAGCAGGATAGAGAAAAGAGCTGAAATTGAACGGGAAAGAAAGGAGGGAGGGCTCTGCTACCAGATCCCTGCTGATCTAGGGCCAGGCTTCAATCCTCCAGGGTACTGGAGGGGAGTGATGACAGCAACACCCTGAGTGTTCCCCTAAACGGGATGCTGCCAAACTCTCAGCTGGGGCAGTGGACGGCGTGCAGGATTACGTAGCGGCAGGCTCAGCGCGCCCCCAGGCTGCCCCGATGGGACCCAGGACTCAGGCCGTCGCACCTACTGCTCTGCGCGCGGCGGGAGTGGGGATGGGACGGGGCGGGGGCGCGTGACTGGGGGCGGCGCGTGGGGGATCCCCTTCTCTGGCTTCCTCATACCAGCCCTGTGATCACTCACCGGACCAGGAGCTCGAGGAAGATAACGTTACTGCAGCAGCCTGCGAACACCAGGCCCACGGCGAAGGCCGGGCGCATGGCCGGTGCAGGGAAAGGAGAGCGAGTGCGCAGAGGAAGCGCCTGCCTAGACCGCTACCCCGGGAAGCCGGCCGGCTGTCCCCGCCGGCACGCAGAACCTCTCCGCTCTCCCCGGGACCGCCACGGTCTCCCCTTGTCTGCGGTTGCTGCTGACGCTGCCAGCCGAAGAGCTGTAGTTCGCAGTTGGCCCTAGCACCATTCATCCGAGGGGGCGTCCGAGTCCCGGCTAGACTACACATCCCAGGATGCCACGCGCCCTTACGTCAGAACGTGACGTGGCCCGCCTAGAATGCGCTGCTTCGTCCGAAAGGAGCGGTGGGCGGGGTGCCCGGCATGCCTCGGGCGGCCAGCGGCCGTGGGGCTTGCTGGGAAGTGAAGTTCCAAGGCTGTCAATGCTGCGGGCAAGACTGCCGAGAGCTCAGAGACGTTGTGTCCACCGTTCTCACCAGGAAGGCGCTGCTGGCGGCACTAGAACTACAGACCTGTAACCTTTCCTTGGAGGGGTACTCGCATCTGCAGCAATCTTCCAGAACTGAGTGAAAGCAGAAATTCCTCTGAACATACCTCACTACCTCTAGAGTAGAATAGAGGACACAGAAATTCTGAAATTCTGAAGTTGAGTCTCGACTCTAAACCTAACAAAACCTAACAATCGACCCTAAAGCCCTGCTCTCTCAAGCATCTTTTCTGAATCTCAGTCTCTCCGTAGGTAGAGATGGGGACTGAAATGTGTATCTCATCTGGTTATTGCGAGAGTTAAAAGATGAGGTCAGCGAAAAGCCGAACCTACTAAATGAATTGCTTTGCATTATTATTATTGGTGGTGAGGCACCCCAGTGCACTGACCCTGTTAGAAACTCTAGGGGAAGGGCTTCTTATAATGAAACAGAGCAAGAAACCCCTAATGTATTCTCTAGGGTTCCTGAAATATAAAGTCCATTTGCATTGTAATGGCCCAGAGTAAGGAGTAAGTCTTCAGACTTTGGTTATGATAATGACCAACATGGACCATGAGTGAGGGCCATTTGACCTCTAAAACTCTCACTTAAAGGAAAGAAGGTTTTCATTTCAATATGTAAGATGTTTTGTAGACTGGAAACTGCTGGTTGTGAGCTCAGAGACTCCAGGCTGAATGGTTCCAGACACCTGAAGAGGAATTTGATTGTCTAAGGCCTCACCAATCAAGAATGCCCACGAGCTGATCACACCCTCTTGAACCAATCACTGAACTGATCATGCGCCTGGGACCTCTGCTCCTAATTTTGCCCTTAAAAACGCATGTGGGGAACACCCCGGGGGAGACCGGGTCTTTTCAGCATGAGCTGCCCGCTCTCCTTGCTTTGAGCTTTGCAATAAAGCTGTACTTTCCTTCATCACACCATGTGCCTATGGCTTGGTTTTATAGCGCTTGGGTGAGCGAACCTGATTTGAGTTTGGTAACAATAACTCCTTGGAACCTGCAAGCACTGTGCCAGCACTAAGGGGCTGCCCATTAAATCAGATAAGAACCAAAGCCCCCAAAGGGTTTGAATAAAGAAATTGTCTGAGTTCTGTAGTATCTCCAGGTGTTCTGTAGCTTCCTTCCTTTCTCCATATTTCAGTGCATGTTAATTTAATGTGCCATGAATCATCTGGACATCTTATTAAAATCCAGATTCTAACTCAGTAGGCCTGCTGTGTGGCCCAAGAGCCTGCATTGCTGACAAACTCTCAAACAATGCTCATGTTACTAGCCTGTGGACTATACTTGGGAGAGCAAAAGTCCATGAAATATTTGGATCTGGAGACTGCTCTATCTCCCTCTCCTATTGGCTCTGGGACCTTGTGTGCACACACCTGACCTTAGGCCCTTCCTTCTTTGCCTACATCATACTCAAAGAAAGTAACTTACCTTTTTTCCATCTTCACTTTACCACCAAATATCTTCTATTTTTTAATATTTGCCAGCGTGTGTGTGTACTTGTCAGAGAAAAGCACACAGAAGAGGAGAGAGGGAGATAAAGCAGAAAGCACCCCCCAATGGGCATGGTCACACTACACTTTCTCCTCCATTTCTTCTTCCTATCAGTATTTGTGCATGCACACACATAAGCTGTAGTAGGCAGTTAGTTAGCCATGAGCGGGCAGCCCTAAGAGAAAAGCGAAAGGCTCACCTAGCCCCAGGCGCCAGAAGGGCGAAGCAATTTGCCATCTTCCTTCCTTGGGGCCTGAGGAAAGCACATAGGGATGATTCTTAGATTTTTCTCTTATCAAAAAGACCCAACCAGCATTTTGGTCAACATCCTAATCCCCAAGTAAGCGTTTTGGTCAACGCCCTAATTCCCACTAGGACAATGAATTAATTATGTAGTCTAATTAAACAACCTGGCTCACACTGGGCATGATCAATAAGGTAATCAAATTCCTCATTCCTTACCTGTGAGAGAAGTGCGCAAGTGCAGGAGAAAACACGCAAATTCAAATTCAAACGAAGGACATAGGTAGTGTGACAGAGCTCCCACCAATAAATATTCATGATCATTAACCAGTATCAAGCACAGTTGCCACCTGGCAATCTGCCTGCCCAAGAGCCTTTTGGGGTGTACTTTCCTTTCTTTCCTATTAAACCTTCTCTTCTACCTACTTCATTCATGGTAGCGGTTTCATTTTGCGCCTAGGGACAGATCTCTAATTTTAGTGATCTGGACCCAAAGAACCAAGGACATCACAATACAGCTCGACATTCTCCCATCCGTTACAAACACCTCATGTATTTTTCAAGCTGTAGGGGCCAGAATTCAAACCACAGTCAGCCTTGTAGGATCCAGCTCCCTTAATCACCAGGCCATGGAGCTGGCCCGC